AAGGCAGAATATTTGCAGCAGTTTTAGACAAGTTGCAGAGATCGGGAAGCCAGAAAGCGGAACATTAGCCACTCTGTTCAGGGTCTCTGTGGCCGAGGGGATTAAAGAAAGGGTGGAGGCAGGCAGTGTTGTGCCGTGGTGGGAGTAAGTGATCTTGATAACAGGATGTGGTGTTTAAAGTTTGTGGTTTCCTATCATACCAGACTCAATGATTATGAATGATCTGGATCAGGTTGAAAGACCAGTTAGATAAGGGAAGGAATTTGTGACAGAAAGTAATGATGAACTTCCTTTTGTTAAGTTGAAGGAAATGGTGACACATGCAATACGTTGTTAGATGGTCGATAGTCTGTGTCCACAGAAACAGTCGAACAAACAAGAAAAGTGGCAGAGAGCCCGAACTACATGACAAGCCAACAGGTGGAAGCTATGCCTGCTGCTGCCATCACTGAGGGACTGCATGTGGTTAGAGGAGGATGAAGCAAAAGGCACAACCTTAGAGGTGCTGAAGATAATGATGTGACACTCGGAAGAGAAGTTAGTATTGGATAGAGACAGCAAGAACTGCAGATGCTGGGGTCAGAGATAACACAGTGTGGAGCTGGAGAAACACAGCAGGCTGGGTCGGGACCCTTCTTCATAAATTGGTGGGGGGGGAGGAAGGTGGAAGGGAGCTCAGAAATAAATAGAGAGAGGAAGGGTGGGGCTGGGGAAGGTAAGCCCAATTCCTCTGCCTCTGCCGCGTCTGCTCCCAAGATGGGGCATTCTACTCCCGAACATCCCAGATGGTCTCTTATTTTAAGGACCGTAACGTTCCACCTGCGGTAGTCGAAAATGCTCTTAACTGCACCTCTTGCGTTTCCCGCACCTCTGCCCTCAAATCCCCTCCCCCCAACAAAAACAAACACAGAATCCCCCTTGTCATCACATATCACTCCACTAACTTCCGTATTCAACATATCATTCTCCACCACTTCCGCCCACAACCAAAGAAATATTTCTCTCCCCACCCTATCTGCCTTTTGTAGGGACCGCTCGGTCCACGACTGCCTCATCCACTCCACACTCCCCACTAACCCCACCACCCCCGGCACCTTTCCTTGCAACTGCAGGAAGTGCTACACCGGCCTGTACACCTACCCCCTCACTTCCATTCAAGGCACAGTGCAAACCTTCCATATCAGATAGATGTTCACCTGCACATCGATCAATGTGATCTACTGCATCTGATGCTCCCGATGTGGCCTCCTCTACATTGGTGAGACAAAGCGGAGGCTCGGAGACCGCTTTGTAGAGCACCTGCGCTCTGTTCGCAATGAATGACAACACCTTCCAGTTGTGAACCATTTTAACTTCCCCCCCCCACTAACTCCCTGGGTGACATGTTCATCCTGGGCCTTCTCTAGTGTCACAATGATGCCGCCTGGAAACTGGAGGAGCAGCACCTCATATTTCGCCTCAGGAGCCTACAGCCCAATGGCCTAAATGTGGATTTTACCAGTTTCAAAATCTCCCCACCCCCGGCCTCATCCCATGACCAGCCCTCCCTCTCATCTCCTCCTCCTAGATCTGACATAACCTGTCCATCTTCTCCCCCACCTATCTGCCCCACCCATCCCACTGACCAATCCCCACCACCCCCTACCTGCATTCACTGATCACAATCCCACCTACCTTCCCCAGCCCCACCCCTCCTCTCTCCATTTATTTCTGAGCTCCCTTCCGCCCCCTCCCCCATTTCTGAAGAAGGGCCCTGACCTGAAATGTCAACTTTCCTGCTCCTTTGATGCTGCCTGGCCTGCTGTGTTCCTCCAGCTACACACTGTGTTATCTCTTATTATTGAATAGATACTGTTGATTTTGTATAGGTAGGAAGTAAACATACAACCAGGCAGTTCTACATAGCTGAACAAAAGGCATCAGAAGTAGATAATATAGTTTGTTGCATTAAATGCTACAGAGATTTAAAGAGAACAGGAATGGATAAAGCACAACGGGTGTGGTCTTAACTTTGACTGGCATTTTTCTCACTAGTGGGTGATGCCATGATCTTTACCTTCGGGGGGAAAGGGAATTGGACCTGAAATAATCGTTGAAGGGGTTGGTGTATTTTTGAGGAGCAGATAAAAGCATAAGGTGATTAAAAAAGCATATACTTAACGTTATGGTTTTTAACTTTTGCTAAACTTGATCTTAAATCCCATCATCCACACCTGATTGTTTCTGGCAAGTTTAAATATTGGCTAGTGAGAGACAAAAGTCAGGAAGTGCCCCATCTGCAAGGTAATTCTAGAATTTAAATGCACAGAACACTTGGAAACTCCCTATTGCTTATCTAGCCCAGATCAACCGGTCACCTTGGTTTATAGATTAACCCAAAGATGAATCAGCAAGATCTTACTTCTCAGTGATAAAGCTACATTCCACTTATTGAACATACTTCCATAATACACTCACCAACTGAGATGGCTAACGCATTATCAACAATGCCCAGGAGTATTATGCATTTACCTCATTCAGGTATCAAATTACTGAGTTTGAAACAATAGGAGTTGATTTGGTTCCAAACCAATTTAAATCAAGTTCTGCTGGTTAAACTGTACTGGATCTTTGAGAAGCCCCAACCTCTGTATTTCCCAACTAATTATTCTACTGTTCCTTCTCACCTCACATTTATGATCAAAGCCAATTTTAGAGACAATTTGACACAAATCAACAACAAGCATGGGTTAAAATTTTGTCAGCCATGCAAAAGAATGCCAGTATCAAAAATTAAAATAATGTTATTACTGGAACTCTGAAACAAAACAAAAAAAACGCTGGGACCCCTCAACACGTAAATGTTTCAAGTGTAATATTTTCTCATATCTATTCCTTACCCTCGCTCTATCACTATCCACCTATAACTGTGGCTCATCCTTCACTTAAACAAATTTCTTTACATAATTTTCATTTTGATTAACATTAATGAAACAGGAGGAATATTTTCACTTTGCAACAAAAACTAAGAAAATAGTTTTGACAAGATTTTGTACTCATAACGTCTAGTGATTATGCCTGATCCACTTACAATGGAATTTAAAAGGGCCAGCTGCCATGACAACCCTGAATATAATTATCTATATACGCCACAGAATAATTCATGCAGTGGGAGTGTTTGTTGCAACTTAATTGTTGACATTTAGATAATGAAGAATTCATTTGGTGCTTGGAAAACACGGTTATTGAATTGGAACCAGATGTGATTAATTGTCAATTAGTTAACACTCAGCAGGGAATATTATACACCTTGTCATCTTTTGCCAGCAGGCCTATACATGCCCTTTAGATGTGGGAGACAGAAAAGATACAGCTGTTCCTTTTTGTGTGTCTTCTCTGCACGCAATGAAGCACAGAAATCTGCCATTAACTATGTGATCGATTGTGGGGTCAGATATTTGCTGATGGCTAATTGAACCAGGACTTTAATTTGACTAATAATAAGATGAAGATTGTCATTTTCTGAGGAGCTGAGGATGAGCAAGTCAAGAAGGCACAGCTGAGGGGGATTTCTTGGGTTACAGCAGAATCCTGGCCTGCAGGCTTTTACACTACCATGGCAGAAAATTCTCACCAGCTGAGATCCTTGCAAAAAGCAGAGTCTTGCATAGGTTAGAGAGGTGACCCGGGTTTATTTAGAAGCCAAAGAGCAACTTTGTTTTTCTCCTTTTGGTGCAATGCTGTCACTCAGATTAACCTAGTAGTGTATCCCTGATATCTGCTTACTGGCACAATATTTGAGCCCTGCATACAAGTTAGGTTGGCTGGACGTCTGGCTTGTGATATAGAGTGATACCAACAGCATGGGTTCAATTTCTCGCCCAGCTGGGATTACCTTAAAGGACTCACTTTCTCAACCTTTCCCCTCACTTAAGGCACAGTAACTCTGAGGTTAGACAACAACCAGTCATCTCTCTCTCTAATGAGAGAGCAGCCCTATGGCCCAATGACGATGGTGACTTTTACTTTTTATGTACAAGTTCTGGGTGGGATGCTCTTCGGAGGGGCAGTGTGGACTTGTTGGGCCAAGTAGCCTGTTTCCATACTGTATTCTGTGATACTGTTACCTTATCTTTGTATTTTGGGATAAGATCTGGGCCTGTTCCCTCCTAATGAACTTTGGGTCTACTAGTCCTTTCTTCTGCCTGTAGGGTATATTTATAATTCCATTCCATGGATGATATAAGTTTTTTTTACCAATATCAAACAAGTACGAAGTACTAAATTAGTAATACCAATAACAACATTCTAAAATTTGTTGTTATAGCACTACTTTCTGAACAATTTTAAACATTTTCAACTGTTGGTTGATAAGAAAGTGCCAGACCCCAATATGATTCTAAATTTACTGAGACCAAATAGCATGCGATCACCTTTGTGAGGTAGTTTCACATAGCTTGCACTTTGACCGATGTGGAGCATAACTCCAGTTTACATGTAACATAATGACTTCCCATTTCCAAGCACATGGATTTCGCAATTTCTGCCAACTCAATATTCCAGTTTGTACTGTGCAGTTTTGCAATACATTGCTTCCATTGTGCTGTAGCACATTTTAACATGCCCCAATAATTGCAATACATCTGAATACTATTAAAATTATAAAATACAACTGAATTCATATAATGATAATCATATAACCAAACATATTTAATAAGATTATAGAATAACTGAATTGGTTTAATAATAATAGTACATTTGAACACTATAATTGTGATATAATTGAGCATAAAATAATCATGACATTACAATATTCCAGGACAGAATGCACAAAATTCCAAATACAATGCAACAGGCAAGGATTGATAGCATAAATATTTGTACCATGAAGAATATTTAATTATACTCTACAGGTTATTAAAATATAATGTTTTCTGATAATCATAACTCAATGAAGCCATGCTTGCTAATGAAAAAGATATTGTTATTAAAACATGTTCAAATCTATTTTGTTGTTCCAGAAATATACCTCTCGCTATCTGCATATCTATGGCAGTTGTTACAGTTGGATATGTGTTAACAAATGTAGCTTATTTCACCGTAATGAGTCCTGAGGAGCTTTTGGCTTCTGAAGCAGTAGCTGTGGTGAGTAATATTGAATTTATTGGATTAAATTTATATAAAAGGGTCCAATGGTATTTTGAAATGTAGCGTGCATGTCTGTTTGCAAATGGTTCTAAGCAAATTGGATTCCCACGACTTCCAAAATACTCTTGAAATGCAGACAGCAGCTGACTTAATGAAAATATTCAAAATATTGCTCATTGATCTTCCATGTTTTCTGCAGTACTATTGATTTCTAACACTGCCTACAGTTTACTCAGAGGTACCCAATGAATGAGGTGGGAAACAATACTTCTACAATAATGTAAAAACTCTGAAAAGATGGTATCAAGTAGATCAAAAACCCTCATCCATTAGGAATAGAGTTTGGTTAACATAGCCAGAAGGAGTGATATGTCACATTTACAGCTAGGTTCTGCAACAGTCGGTTCTCACTGAGCTGAAAGACAACAGGCACATGGTCCCTGTACAAAGAGAGAGAAACAGAAAGCTAATAACTTGCAAATTGTGACCCTTTGAAGACGGCAAGTACAAAAGCTATCATAGCCTACACTAAGTTCACTGCTAGGCTGAATAGGCCCCCACATTTAATGCAGTTAGAATGCTGTTTAGGCACTTATGGTGTCTGCTTAACGCCAGGCCACTTTGTTTAAAAAAAATTCTAGTCTCCCCCACACCTTGAAAACATCTGTGATATGCCTTCCTGTCTTATGTTTGGTGTCTGTCACCTCGCCTAAGTGCTTCCCAGTGTACTGCGAAAGCAACTCCTCACTGGACAGCGTATAACTGAGCTCTCCATTGATTGTCCAAGGAGATCATCAATTCATTCATTTTCAGAGCAGCTGCAAAATGTCAGAGGGATACTCAGAAAGTATAATGTCAATGCTACTGAGTTCCCAAAATCAACTTCATTATTATTAGCGGAGAACACCAAGCTGAAGAAAAAATTGTCTCAAAATCCTCTCCAGACAAACATTCTACTGCTACTCAGGGTTGGTATGCAGCATGTGGAGACCTAAAGAGATGAAGGGAAGAAGATACAGTATAACTTTCTCTTTTTCTCATGGATAATATTAAAGTCTATACATGTCATTTGTACCCTACTTATAGAAGAAGACGTTTTTCGTGGTGTTCATGAAAATAAAAGATGTGTGTACATTTTTTATCACTTGTCCCCTTTATTTACTCATGGAACAAGGGTATTACTTGCTGGCCAGCTTTTATCGTGAATCCCTAGTTGGCCTTGAGAAGCTGGTGGTGACCTGCCTTCTTGAACTGTTGCAGTCCATGCATTAATTAAGACCCTTTACCAAGAGTATCCAGGTCAGGCATTCATGGACTTGATGCAGAATGAAAGTGCCTTTACTCTAAATTTGAATTTAACTGCAGTCTGAAAAAGTACCTAATGCACCTGTGTGACCTTTTCCATCTCTCTTGCCACTTACGCTCTCACTGAGTAACATTGCTCATTATGCAGCTGTTGAAATGCAGACAGCTTTAACTGCGCACTCAAACCCTCTTGGGACTAGTTTGAAACTGCCCTGATGTTCTATCTTTATAACTAGTACAGAGAGGAGACTTTAGTTGTATCTCCTGAGGTAGATTGAAGTCTGGTTACAAGAGGTGACAGGACACTTGGCCACCCAAGTTCACCGAGTTACTTTGATATTCTGTGACGCGACTCCAGTTTAGAAAAGAAATCTTGCCAGCTGTATGATTCAGAATGGCAATATGTTATATTTTTTGACAATGCAGCTCTGTGAATTTACTATTTTGTCCCTACTCAGGGGATCGTAATATTGAAAGAGGAAATAGTCGCCATAAATAGTGCAAGCTAAATACTCAACAAACAGCTCACAAATTTGTTGCACCCAGAACAAATACTTAATAAATCACATGGAATTTCATCACATAAGATAATATAGCCTTCCTCTCTTAAAGAGAGGATTCTACACAGCTCCTCACAGACTCATTATTTATATATGTTACGGTATTTACACAGTTGTAATAATATATTAGTATCTTTAATGGACGACAAAAAGGCAAGCGTCGTAAAAGAAAGAACTGCGGATGCTGTAAATCAGAAACAAAAACAGAAATTACTGGAAAAGCTCAGCAGGTCTGACAGTATCTTTGGAGAGAAATCAGAGTTAATGTTTCAGGTTGAGTGACTCTTCTGCAGAACTGGGCGAGTGTTGTGTTTGTCTGGAATATCGACGTAAACAGTCAGTTGACAAGACTCCAGATTGACACAGCCAGTTTGCAAGCAAATAGTTGAACGTTAAAGAAATCAGGGAATGTGAACAAGTCAAAGGATCTGCTCATGAACCTGGCCAATTTGGCTGTTAACAGGTTCCGGCAGCGGGCTGTGGAGGGGGACATATTTGCCAACTTGTTTGCCCCTCTTCCATGGCGATATTCATGCTTGGGTGTCCTTGGAGAGGGAGCATGTCCGCTAATACTGTTAATGCCTTTAGAAGGAGGAGGGCACGTCACAGGTAGAGTGTTTTATCTCCCCTTTCCAACTCCATTTTGATTTAGCCCCCTCCCCCTCTCCCTATATTACTTTCACTTTTGGTGGTCTGCATTGCCTGCAATGGGGTTTGCACTTAAATTTTTCAATTGGTGAACATGGGTGATTTACTGGTGATGGTTAGTAGGTGAAAGCATATCATGGGTGGTTTGGTGATGAAAAAAAATCAGTTGTTTGTAAGAGCATTTCTAGATATGTAAAGAACAGAAAATAAGTGATGAAAATCAGGAAAGTTTGAAGTTTAATCCCTCATTAATACTGCGAATTTACAAGAATACCAATCTAAGGGCGAACCAACAGGTATGCTATATAATAAAGTAATGCTGATAGGTTGGCAAGTGGATTTTGCTTAGTTGAGTCATTGCCATGAAGAATGAACCAGTTAATGATGTTTACCAGTTAACTATAAGGATCTTTTTAAAATGTAAACAAAGCAGTATGATTCTGATTAGTCAGGGCAATGCTCTGAGAAATGAACTAGTGAACAGCTGCCACCTATTTTGTTGAGTTGAAACAAGCACAGTGCAGGTAAATGTTCTTTCTGTATGCAAAGAACAGGGCCCAGTACACTAATGCATGTAGCTTCCAAATCAAGTAAGTGCACCACACTGCGAGTCTGACTAACAAATCGGTTGTTATCGTACATCTTTGCACATTCAGAATTATCGACCCAAATGTTGTCCAATTGCAGAATCTGATGATCGACAAGGTGTTACCAGTTTTGGAAGCAGATAGTGTTGTGAGTAATCGAAGTTTGACACAATTTGCAAGTCTTTGGGGTGTACAGCCAACATACCTGGCATCACTTGTATGTACTAGGAGCTACATATGTTAATACATAGGGTCCTGTCCTTTGCAGACAGAATATACATGCAGTCATGTGTATACACTGCACTTCTTCTGACTAACAAAACTGAACAATTCACCAGTTCATTTCTCAGGGCCATACCCTAACTAATCAAAGTCAACCTACCTGGTTTAAATTTAAACAAATCTGTGCAGTTAACTGTCAATTATCATTAATTGATACATTCTCCATATCAATATTTCACCAAAGTTCACCAGCCAACCAATCAGCATTTTCCTCTCATACAATATAAGTACTATTTCTCCTATTAAATTGGTATTCTTGCGAATTGTCTCTATGACTGTAAGATGAATGGTTATGTCAAAATGTGTCTTTTTTCAAGTTCTGTACCATCATATAGCTTAGTATTTATAACAGAGAAGATAAATTAATTTATCTACACTTTGTATGGTTATTGTGCTTATGTACCATATGCCACGTTTCTACCATCGTTTAGATGTTTTGACCCGTCTCCTTATGATTGGAGACCAGGAAATCTACTTGTCGTTTCTGAAATAATCTGTATTTACATCTGTTCCTGTTTAGCCTGCAGTATGTGTATCCAAACACAATTAAGTGATGCTTGCTAATCAGTGTGGGTATTTTCTAATCAACCTGTTCAGAGATGTTATAATACATCTCTGGAGCAGGAACCAGGTCTCTTGGCTCAGACATAGGGGCACTATCATTGTGCCACAAGACCCTGCTAATCAGGGTAGTGTCCAAGGCCCAGCCATTTTCATCAGTTTCATCAATTACCTTTTCTCCATCATAAAGTCATCGTGGGGATGTTTGCTAGTTTTTGCACAAGGTTCACAGTTCCTCAAATACTAAAGCAGTCTCTGTCCAAATGCAGCACGACTTGTAAATAATCAGATTTGGACTGGCAAATAACTTTTATCATAAACAAGTGCCAGGCAATAATGATGCCAAACAAGAGAAAATCTAACCATTGCTCCTTGACATTCAAATGGCATTACTATCACTGAATTTGCACCATCAATACCCTGGCGGTTACCAATGACCAAAAACTGAACTGGACTAGCCATATAAATACTTCATCACAAGAACAGAAGCTAGGAATCCTGCAGTGAGTGACTTACCTCCTTAGTACCCAAAGCCTTCCACCATCTACAAGGCACAAGTTGGTGATGCAGTGGGATACTCTACACTTGCCTGGAGGCATGCAACTCCAACAAAGCTCAATAACAAAGCATTTGGGTTGATTGGCAACACATCTGAAATCATTCACTACGTCTACCACTGGCACACGGTCGCAGAAGTGAATACAAGATGCATTAAAGGTGCAATGCTCCTTCAACAGCATCTTCCAAACCTACAATTACTAACACCCAGAAAGACAAGTGTAGTAGATACATGGCAATACAACCACTTGCAAGTTTCTTCCTAAGGCATTTGCCCTCCCATTTTGGAAATATATCACCATCCTCCACTCAGAGATAGTAGGAACTGCAGATGCTGGAGTCTGAGATAACAAGGTGTAGAGCTGGATGAACACAGCAGGCCAGGCAGCATCAGAGGAGCAGGAAAGCTGACGTTTCGGGTCTGAACCCTTCTGAAGAAAATTTTTCTTCAGAAGGTCCAGACCCGAAATGTCAGCTTTCCTGCTCCTCTGATGCTGCCTGGCCTGCTGTGTTCATCCAGCTCCAAACCTTGTTATATCAATCCTTCACTGTTGTTGGGTCAAAATCCTGGAACTTCCTCCTTAACATTATTGTATGCGTATCTATGCCAAATGCATTGAAATGCCTCAAGAAGGCAGCTCACCACCACCTTCTCAAGGGCAACTAAAAATGGGTAATAAATTCTGGCCGGCCAGAGAAACTCTCATCCCCTGAATTAATAAAAACCGTGTTTACCTGTTAAGAATATATACCAGTTTAGTATATTTTTGCTAATAATATTTGTTGGGGTCATATTTGTGAAATATATTATTACTTAGTTTATATTTTTGAAGCATGTATTAGTTAAGAATCTACTTATAAAGCATACAGCTGTGTGTTGATTATTACATATATATACCTATATATGTCAGTTTATTATAGAGCTTTACATTGACCACATTTCTGTCTTCACTCATTCCCATCGATAAAGAGCTAAAATTTCTGCAGACCACAGCTAATGTGCACAGGGACAGGAGGACACCTGCTGCTTTGTCCTGCCTTGGATGCCAGGATGAGATTATTTAAATAAAAGGCATTGCCTGTACCTCATGTGGCACAACAGAGATATAACCCCTCCTGGGGTGACAGAGTGGAACCTTATTTTTCTGAAAGGAGCTATCCAGGTCTAAACTGGGATACAGAAGAGTGATAATGGAATTCTATTGATTCGTGTTCAGGAAATGGAGGACCGTTTTGATGAAGGCAGACCATTACTCAATTTTTGGCTATTTGATAGAGGCTTTCACGAGTTCCTGCCAGAATTGCAATACGAGATTAGAAGATCCTTTGCAAAATTTCAGGCACACACTGTTTTTTTTGGCTTACACTTAATGTTTTCTTGTTCTTGTTTACATAGAATGGAAAATTTAAGACTAAATGTGACCATTTACATCGTTGGCTAAGCAATTAACTGTGTAAGATTGATTTTAACTCCAGTCTGATTGATTAGACCTTTGCAGAGCGATTGATGGGCAAGTTCTCCATAACAGTACCAATTTTCGTTGCTCTTTCCTGCTTTGGGTCTATGAATGGAGGTGTCTTCGCAGTTGCCAGGTAAGAGATCTGTCAACTTACAGTTTTTAAAAATGTACCAGTGGAGCAGAAAAAAAACCAAAGTAACACTATAAAATGGAAGTGAAGAAAACTTTTATCCTCACAGAAATAAATGCATGACTTCACAAAATTTCATATTATATGTGCTTTTAAAGAATTGGGAGTTAATATACATTTTGCAATATTATTCTTCAAATTACAATTTATTTCAAATTATTAGGCCTTGCATTTTTGTGGGGCTGCCACTTCAATCATAAAACCATAAGATTTGGCCATTCGAGTCTGCTCTCTCATTCAACAAAATCATGGCTTATCTGATAATCCTCCACTCCATTCTCCTGCTTTATCCTTCAACACTTGGTTTCCTGGCACATCAAAAATCTGTCCATCTCAGCCTTGAATATACTCAATGAACCAGCCTTGACAGCCCTCTGTGAAGAAGAATTCCACAGATTCTGTAGCCTCTGAGAGAAGAAATTCCTCCTCCTTCAATGGCTGAACCCTTACTCTGAGGTTATATCCCCTACTCCTAGACTCTCCCACAAGCATAAATCTAAGAAAAAGCCTATTGATGACAACCTGCTGGTTGCTCCTGCAGTATTAGGGCTTATACTTTTTTAATATTGGTTGTATACAACTTAAATTATCATTGTACTAATGTTTCATTTTACTCCTCATAAGATACTATTCTCTGCTCGAAACTTACCTTTCCATTCATTCTACCTCATCCCTCAATCACTTGTGTCAGACACCATTCTGAAAATGAGATAATTCTGTTGCTCTTTGATTATCGACTTGAAAGTTCCACAGCCACAATCTAATGTGAGCATGTTCTAATCCGATGTATGCCTAGGTACAGAATTTGCTATAAAACATGGTACCTTCCATTGACACCAATTGTCACATTCAGGGGGCCCAAGCAGAAAGAAACAAGAAGCACAGCCCCAAGCACTATTACTCTAGATCCTTGCTCAATCTGCTAGAAATTCTAATGTTTTCAAACTGGAGTCACAGTCAGCAATGTGACAGTGTATTCCTCTCCAGGCAGCAGATTTTATATGAAACACCTTGAATAAAATCAACAATAAAACCATGAAAACCTGGATGATAGGTTGTCCAAATTGTTGCACTTAAAATTGCCCTCAGCATGCCTGAGCTTGGGAGATAGGGAAAATAGGAATTAGTATTCTGCTGTTAAAACTGGTCGGGAAAGACTTGCTAGCTGGTTAATCTGAAGAACGTTTTGTCATCAGTCTTCACCCTCTGAGAAGTTCCTATTTTGTTTACTTCTATATTAATCTAGTTTATACTGTAAAACAACTATAAATCTAATTATTTTTAATTGCACTGCTAATTATTATCATGCTCAAATACAAGCAGGGATGTGGCAAAATACATACCTCTCAACTTATTGCTAATTTATGTTAAAGTTCACTTGCTGTTTTGCGAGAAATATCAATCATTGTTTTAAAATACAAATGTGAGGCCTAACTAATCGTACAGCTGAAAGATTTCAAGTACGGTTTAAATTTCTAAACCTTATGAATTGTGCCAGCACTGGACCAAACTATCATGCAAAGGTATGCAAATAAGTGTTAATAATTGTAAAATCAAGATTCAGTGTGTGTATTTAAGCAATGTTACAAAGTGGCATTTCTGCTGATTCTGTAGTAATCTGATGAATATTAGACAGTAAAATATTCAAATTAGATATGTGGCCAAAGTAGGGGTGCTTCACTAATACATTCTACATTCTGCAGAGAAGCAATTTGAAATCTTAATGACAACTAGTCCATTGCCATTCCATTTTCATTGACTTTAAGTTTAGTAAACGTTAATTTATTTTCAGATGAAATTAAAATACAATTCAATACTTCTGCACAAGAAGATCTTCCATCTATAACAAATCTTCAATTACATTATTTACTAATGAAATTACACAAATACTTTATAATATTTTATTGTTGTAAGTTCAAAACCAACATCAATCCAATACTATAATGTATACGTTTGCAAGCATAATTTTTACAAAGTACTTAGTTGCCTGCAATATTCCATCTAAGTTTTGAATGTGTTTCCACACACCAATCCAGAACACATCACACACAGTGCAATGAATAGGTTTTGTGCAACCAATGTTCCCTTCTAGTTGTGAGGGGCAAACCATAAACATAGTGCATTTTGTGAGGATAAAGAAGCATCGCTTCCCAAGAAAAATTAATTCCGTTAAGGGAATCAGTCTTTATATTGACATAATAATAAATGGGATCAGAATTAGGCTATTTAGCCCTATGAGCCCACTCTGCCATTCAATGAGGTCAACACCATTTTCAGCAAGACCCCAATATCCCTAGGATTGTTTATTATCATCTCCAGGACAGCGAGTTTCAAAGATTCTCCACCCTTTGTGTTAAGAAATTCCTCCTCATCTCAGTCCTAAATGGCCTGTGCCTTATTTTTAGACAGTGACCACCTCCCCCACATCCCACTCCCCCCACCCAGTTTGAAACCTCCCACTCAGGAGAAAACATCCTTTCTGATTATACCCTCTAGACCACTGTAAGAATTTTATATGAATGAGATCACCTTTCATTCTTCTAAACTTTCAGAGAGTATAGACCCAGTCTATTTCATTTTTCCTCCATAATCCCCTCCACTCCAGGAACTAGTTTGGTGAACTTTCATTGCACACCCTCAATGGCTACTATATCTTTCTTTAAGTAAGGAGACCATAATTGCACACAACCCTCCAGGTGTGGTTTCATCAAGACACAATACAATTACAGTAAGATGTTGTTATACTGAGATTCTCTTCTAATAAAGGCCAACATAAAATGTGCCTTCTTAATTGCTAGCTGTACCAGCACGTTAACTTTCAAAGACTCATGAGCAGAACAGCTAAGTCCCTTTGATGTTCAACACTTCACAACTTCTTACCATTTGTAAGTAGCAGTCACATAATGAAAAAACAAGCTAATAAGATATTCTTTATGAAGTATTTGGTATTTTCCCAGTCAGTTAAGAATATATAGTAAGTTGCCCTGATTGATTGGTGCATTTGCAGAGAGCGAGTAAATCTGCTAAAGGATGGTTTCTCATTTCAATTGCAACCTGAGTTGATTTGTCCAATCATTGTCAGGAAAGTGGTAACGGCAAGTTAATTAAACTCAGTTCCCACTTTAAAATCAAACTTAAAAAAGGCAACCAAGCATTTTATAAAGCTTCCAAAACAGATGCTGAAAAGTTTCACCGTCACTCTTCTCAGGCCATTACATGTGACTTCCAATATAGATTCTTATGTATAAGAAGCTGACTCAATAAATTAACAATAACAACATCTTTGATCATCTCTGTAGGCATTCTTTGGCTGCCAAGTGAGAAATACCCCACTTTTATCGATATGTTTTAATGATATAGTTCTGGCGCTGTAATAAGGGAAGTCAGCCTCTTATCTTCTAGTAAGCTCAATCAAATTTCATTAGAATTTCTCCTAAAATACAAAATAAAATTCCCCTATGTTCTGAGCAGCAGGAAGAAATGAGCAAATGTGAATTTATTGCACTGGGTTATTTGTTGTGTATTGGTTTGAAATACATGCAGTTGCTGAACTAAAGGAGATTGTATTTGACAGACTCAACTACACTTGTTAAAGTCTGCTGGCAAACAATTGCTTTAAAAAGAAAACTTTGAAGTCATTATCAATTGGCACAGGCTCATAGGTAGTGCATTGGCATTTGCTGGCCAATGGAGAGCATACAGCAAATGCATTACGATGTTGGGACATAATCTGTTATATCTCTTTAATCAAATAGAATGTTTTATGTTGCTTCACGAGAGGGCCACCTGCCAGAAATACTGTCCATGATCCATGTTCGTAAACATACACCTCTTCCTGCTGTTATTGTGTTGGTAAGAAAACATCTCCAATCATTTAAGTCTATATTCATCTAACTTCCAGCATCTTGCTTGTTAATCTCATTATCGGAATGAACCTTCTCATGCAGAGATGTTGGCCAGAATTTTCAGTTGCCAGAGAGGTCAAGAATAGGTGAGGGTTCAATTCAAAAACCATGATTCCAGAAGGTGTGTCTGAATCCCAATGCATCTGGCACACACTCCAATTTTCTACATGGGGCAGGAGGGAATAGAAATGGGGAACATGCTTACCACAATTAATAACCCATTAATATTATTAATAGAATGGAAATAAGGGTCAAAATATTATAATTTCAAAGGCTCCTCTTGCAGTTTTCTCAAGGGCTACTGTATTGTTTCATGGTTTTTTTTTATTTTCATTAACTCAATTATTATTTGATACATACATGTAGTAACAATACCTTCTGTATTGGCTGGTGGTGGGATAGGGTGGAGGGTTGTCTGGGCTGACGGCTGTTGAAAGTTGTGGAAACTGCGTGAGGGGAATGGCTAGTGCTGGGGATGTCTGTCGGTAGGAGTGATATTCAGGAGTCCCTGGAGGTGTAAGGCAACAGGGTATCTGTAATTTGGTGGAGTATGTTAAGTTCTTAGGGCTGAAGGGATCAAAAGGTATGGGGAGAAAAGAGGAATAGAGTATTGAGTTGGATGATCAGCCGTGATCGTATTGAATGGCGGAACAGACTGGGAGGGCTGAATAGCCTACTCATGCTCCTATTCGCTAGTTTTTTCTATTCTATCATAGAAATATGTACCAATTGAAAATTAAAAGATGAGGACACTCTTGAATGGTCATATATAAATGAAATTTAATTTCAGATCTTAACTACACATGATACAATGAAAACTACAGAATGTGTTTGCAGTATATGGAGTCCTTTTATGTTTGTGAGGAGTTGTCCAGAGAGTCTGGGTAGGCACGCTGGGTTAATAGTGTCATGGATTGGGATGGATGATAATAACAGAAATTTATATGGATTTTTGTAGGGCCTTTGACAAAGTCCCACATGGGAAGCTGATAAAAAAGCTGATGGGAATCCAGGCTAAATTGGGAATCCAAAATTAGCTTAGTGGTAGCAGACAGAGGGGAATGGTAGAAAGGTGTTTGTGTGTTTGGATGCTGGTGTTCAGTGGCATTCCACAGAGATCAGTGCTTGATCCCTTATCGTTTGTGATACTCATAAATGATATGGGTGAGAATATGGAGAAAATGAAAAGTAAGTTTGCAGGTAACACAAAGATTGGCCAGGTTGTTGACAGCGAGGACAAAGGTCTTAGGTAACCAAAGGATATAAACAGATTAGTCAACAGTGTGGAGCTGGAGGAACACAGTTCATCAGGCAGCATCAGAGGAACAGAAAAGTTGATGTTTTAGGTCGGGACTCTTCTTCAGAGTCCTGCTCCTCTGTTGCTGCCTGATCTGCTGTGTTCCTCCAGCTCCACACTGTGTTGACTCTAACTCCAGCATCTTCAGTTCTTGCTATCTCCTGAACAGATTGGTTAGATGGGCAGATCGGTGATGGGTGAAATTTAACCTTGATAAATATGAGGTGATGCACTTTGGAAGAAAGAACAAGACAAGAGAGTACTTAATGAATCACAGGATGCTAGGAAGTTCAGAGGAACAGAAGAATCTTAGGGTGCTTATCCACAGATTCCTGAAGGTGACAGGACAAATTAATAGAGCAGTTCAGAAAACATACAGGACACTTGCCTTTATCAGCTGATGCATTGTTTATAAGAGCAGGAAGATCATGTTAGAGCTGTACAGAACTTTGGTTAGACGATACCTGGAGTTCTTTGTGCAGTTCTGGTCACCAAACAAAGGAAGGTTCTGATTGCACTGGAGGGAGTGCAGAGGAGATTCCGAAAAATGTTGACTGGGATGGAGCATTTCAGCTGGATGAGCTGGGCTTTTTTACCTTTGGAACAGAGAGGGTTGAGGGGGCTCTGATAGAGGTGTATATGATTATGAGGAGCATGGTGACAGCGGATAGAAAACAGTTGAAGGGTCAAGAACACGGGGGCACACTTTTAGAGTGAAAGACAAGGGGTTTAGAGGTGGTTTGAGGAAAAATGTTTTCACCCAGAAAACAGTGGGGATCTGGAATGCATTGCCTGGTAGCGTAGTTGAGGTGGGATACTCATAACCTTTAGAAAATACTTGGATGAACACTGGGAATGTCATAAGTCTACGGGCCTAGTGCAGGAAAATGGAACTAGTATAAGTGGTTGTGTGCATTTTTGGTAGTACAGACTTGATGAGCTAAAAGGCTTCTTCTGTACGGTATGATTGTGTGATTCTATAGCACACATTACCCCCATTTTCATTACAGGTATGTCGTATTGTAAACTTTTAGTTTGCACTTCTAAAAATTGGACACATTGACACTGTTAAAGTGATTCCCAGATCTCTTGTAACTTTTGCCATTTGGATTAGAGCAGCTTCAAGTCTCTGGCAAGTGCCTAAATAAAAACTGTATATAGGGAGTGCACCTCACAGCCACCTGTGAAATTCACACATCTCATCCACAGTTCTTTGTTTCTTTTTCCTCATTGTTTAAGGCTTGGCCAATGCCTAAACGATATGGAGTTTCGAGACTGCCATGTCTCCATGTTTCAATCAGGACAAAAGCGAAGATCAAAATTCAACAGCCGCTATCAAATTCCAAATGTGTCACTATGGCTCCATCTTACATCTCAACTTAACATGTTGTGCCAAGCAGAGGGGGGTGAGGTTGACGGTTAGTGGGGGGGGTGGTGGGAGGGATGTCAAGTTGGACGTTGTACTTGGGAAGGGTCAGTAGTAAGTTCAGTATAAATGTTACGTCGGAGTTAGAGGAGACACTTCTTTAACACTTCTTGGTCAGCTGATATGCTTAGGTCAGTCAGATGCCTCTGAATTCTCTGACATGAGGGGGCTTTTACAGAGAGTTCTAGATGCAGGGAATTAAACATGAATTTTCAATTTCCTGGGCAATCCTTTGGGGTCCACAAGAACCTCTGATCAATGCTATTATATTGATTATCTGACCCTTGGAATATCTGGTCCAGAACAATTCACTGGGCAAAGCTTAGATAGATAATGTATGAAAAGATTTAAGTAGCAAGAATTGATTAGGAAGAAAATAAACCGGTATGTATTCACTATGTATAAGACGTCAACATAAAATTATCTAATTGAAACAGTGTTTATCATAATAGCAGCAAAATACCGCAGATGCTGGAATCCTGAAAAAAAAAACAGAAAACGCCTGGAAAATCTCAGCCAGTCTGGCAGCATCTGTGGAGAAACAGGGGATTTGAAACATTAACTTTGTCGTTCTTTCCACAGACGCTACCAGACTTGCTGAGTTTCTCCAGCACTTTCTGTTTTTATTTCTTTACAACAACATCCATTACGTTTCTCCCCCTATACTAGCTATTGACCTGCTGCAACTTTAACCCTGAGACTTTTCAGTAATTTACATCAGTTTTTCTGCTCCCAGTGTTTATTTGTTGAAATGTTTAAAATTGTTTTCTCCCCTCTCTCTTTTACAGCCATCACTCCATCCAATCAGACCCTCCTTCCTCTTTGTAACTCTTTTCTTCCAGCCTCTTTGTCCACTTCACAATCTCATAAGCCAGCTGCCATGTCTCACTCCCTAGACACCATCCTCCCAGTCCCTCAGCCCAGCTAGCTGTGACAAAAGTCACTGTACAAAAGCAACACCCCACACTAGCATTCACTCATGTGGACTTGATAACAGCAACCACTAAAATGCAAGAATCAGCATGTGATTTACTTTGAACCCCTCATTGTATCAGTGTTAATCCTTGGCTTTCATCTCCTTTACGAGTCACTCAGGAGACTGTTGTGGAAGATGAGAAAGACTTTGCGAAAGCACCATCACAAGACCCATGCACACCTTCTGCCAGCTCAGAAACACACACCTTAGTGGGTAGCTTCAAAGCAGGTAGTTGAGGTAGCACATGATGAGCTGCCCATCACAAGTGAGCAGGAACCGATGTTGGAAACAGGGATGTGATGTTCACCTTTCTGCTGCAGAAGTTCCAGTCCTTTCTGAGATAACAGGGTGTAGAGCTGGATGAACACAGCAGGCTAAGCAGCATCAGAGGAGTAGGAAGGCTGACGTTTCGGGCCTAGACCCTTCTTCAGGATTTCTGAAGAAG